ACAATCGGTTCACATCTGGAGTCCAATTGAGTCCAACGACCGGTCGGTTAATATTTTGGGCCAAATTGTCATACAATGCAAACCCCATCTCCAGAGTCGGCATTAAATACAATGGCTTTCCGTTTGAGACACCATTGAGTCTGACGTGAGTTTCCACAGGAATCACAAACCTATACTTCGAGAGTGATATTCGAGCCCTCATTATACCATTGAAATAGGCTTTAATGGTGTCATCGCCTCCGGACTCAAACTCCCGAAGGAGTCCGACAGACATGTCTTTAATGAGCTTTACTTTAATGGCTTGATTACAAAGTTTCCCCAATTCTTGCTGTAATTCTGAGGCAAATATGGACTCAATTCCGATCTCTCCTAAAGTGATGTCCGCCGGAGAGGCCGACGGGTCGATACCCAGAGATCCCCACAACTTATTGATGAATGATTTTGAGCCCTCTTTGGCCTCAGAGTCCAACTTTAACAGTGAGTTCTCCACTGTTTTCACCTGTTTTTTAACAATAAAATTACCGTCAATTTGTTAACTCTGTTAATACTGTATTTGAAAATTATATTATAATTTAGCTTATGTTTTAAACTGATTGTGGTGATCACATAATTGCAAGTATTATTTAATGAACATCATTATATTTAACTTATTAATATTTTTATGTAAAATTTGAATTAATTTATACATACGTTTACTGTAATGACCGGGTATTTAACGGCCAATAGTTTGTCCAATACTTCACAACACGAATGGATCCGTTGTTTCTGAGTTGTCAAGAATGCGAACACTTGTGTCATCTCATGCATAGCCCCGACGTCACCGATCGGACCAAACTGTATGGCCAGACCCGACAGGCCGTCCCTCTGTCTCTGTTCGCAAATACGCTCACAAATAGAGTTACCGTATTATAGTTTATATCCCCCGCGATTCCCATTCCCGAAGAAATGGACGAAAACACCACAAAATGGTCTAAATTATAGTCCGATTCTCGGCTCAATTGATCCAAATTCTTGAATATCTTTTCCTTTATGTCAACGGTTTTCATGAATGTCTCGAAAGACACTTCACTGAAGAGACAATTGTTTAACTCGAGGGCCAAATGAAAGACACCTTCTAAATTATAGTCCAATTCTCGGCTCAATTGATCCAAATTCTTGAATATCTTTTCCTTTATGTCAACGGTTTTCATGAATGTCTCGAAAGACACTTCACTGAAGAGACAATTGTTTAACTCGAGGGCCAAATGAAAGACACCACCGATGGGTGCGCCCAACCCTTTGCACTCATCTAACAGTTGTTTTGTGCCCTCAATAGTGAAGCAATTGGCCGTCGAAACCATTACCTGATTCTCGAAATAGTTATTTTGTTTTCCAAAAGCCTTCAATCGATTGACAATATATTTCTGGTAATCATTTTTAAGACCCGAACGGGAGGTCAACACCAATCTCTTCGCCCCGTTATATACCATCCATTGACACAACTCTAACCCAAAGCCCTCATTATTTAAGTAATATATTGTGGTGTTTTAGGTATCGGTAAAGTTTAGCACAGTTTGATCACAAGTAATAGATGTGGTTACTTTGGAGTCTACTCTCAATCTGTTTTACAATTTTTGATTATAATCTGGAGTTAAGTTAAACATATGGAAACAATAATTAAAAGCATTTACTAGAATACCCGCAATTAAATACAATTACTTATTTAGGAATTTAAAATTAAAGCGGGTATTGATTGAAGTAAATATAGGAATATTCATACAATCTACTAAATATAGCTTAATTCTTGTTGTGATGAACTTGATCATCACAATATAGTCAATAGTTTTCTTTAAATTGTTACATCAAATTATAACGGTTTTAAATACCCCCTAATAATGGTTACCCCGTTTGTCAGCGGATATTTGAGCCCTCAATTCCTGTTACTACGTGTGACTACCATTCGCTCAATCCCTGCATTGTCTCAAATAACCTGACATTTCCTAATGTCATCCAATATACCTTATGTGCGCTATCTTATGATTATCATATACCTATGTATTCATACACTATATGCAACTTTTACCGAAAATATGATATTTTAAAATAAGATTTAATTAAAATATTATTGACGTAAGTATTAAACTATTTTTAGAAACATATTTTAGAATATACATTTAGAATGTACTTAATCTAAACTTAATTAAATATTAAAAAATTTTAATTAAAAAATTAATCTAACATAAGTTAGTATCAATATGTCTGTTACGTACGACTTCACGGGTAAAGTGGCGCTAATCACGGGCTCGAGTGGGGGTATCGGTGCTGGCATTGCCGTACAGTTTGCTCAATCGGGTGCCAGTGTTGTGGTCACCGGTCGTAACGCAGACAAAGTGGCAGAAGTGGCCAAACAGTGTCTCAATGTATCGCCGAAAGGAATTAAACCTCTGGAAGTGTTGGCGGATGTGACCAAACGAGAAGATCTCAGACGTCTGGTCGACCAGACTATTGGACGGTTTGATAAACTGGATATTGTGGTCAATAACGCGGGCGCCCTCTTCTACGGCATCATTACTGACCATAACTTTTACGACAATTACAAGAATACAATGTCTGTTAACTTGGATTCTGTCGTCTATTTAACGCATATACAGTATGTGTCGAGTATTTGGAGAAAACCAAATGGAAACATCATTAATATCTCAAGCATTTCCGGATTGCGAGCCGTTTGTTGACAATAAAATTTTTAATTATAATAATAATACTTTAGATTTATATAATTGTTTTTAAAAACTTTAAACCAGATCACCATAGTGACATATACATGGTCAGTAATTACTTTAACTGAAAATAACAATATTTATTTTGTAGACCCAAAACGTGACACCTTATTGTATGGCTAAGAGCGCGCTCGTGATGTTTGGCCAGTGTATGGCCGCAGAACTCGGACCAAAACGCATCAGGGTTAACACTATTCTGTATGTACATAATTGGGCACATTATATGAAACAGAACGAGTTAGACACAAATCCTATCTTATATCATAAGCTAGTTTATTTAATTTAACATCTTAATCACCGGCAAAATTACTATCAATGTACAAAAATTGTATTATAAATTGGCAAAATGTTTGAATTTGATCTGGCTCGTTCTGTTTCATATCATACAATATTTTAATAAATAATATATTGTTTAATTAAAATACAGGCCCGGATATGTGCCCACCTCTGTATTCGAGACGGCGGGTGCGAGTGGTGACAGTTTGGGCACTTTGAACGCTATTTGTAAGCAACGAATGCCGGTGGGCCGAGAGGGCACACCCGTCGATATGGCACAGGCGGTTCAATTTGTGGCCAGCGACCATGCCAACTTTATCACCGGGGCCAGTCTAGTGGTTGACGGTGGTGATTTGGTGGCCAATATTTGTCTCGATCATGCTTTTGCAAAATACATATAAATGATGATTTATTGTGCTTCGCTATCCATTAGTTATATTTTAATTATTAATTAATATTTATAATTAAATTAGTTTTATTTAATCAGAATTAAATTAATTAAAAAATTATAAGTTATCTTAAAAGTTAAACATTTTTAGTTTAATATATCGACCGTGTCTTTGGTTGAGGACATGATTTGCTACCACCGAGTATTGAGTATCAGTGATATCAACACTATTAGTGAGTATCACTATTAATGAGTGGTATATGAGTTTGAGTACATGGTTAACATAAATGTCATAGTTAAGTTTAGATATCTATGTAAAGTTAATTCAGGATTAGAATTGCGGTATAACTAGAATTTTAGTAAAATTACTATTATTATGCAACTTCATAATTCTATTCTCGGTGATAATAAACATTTTGGTAACTTCATGCTAATTAATTTTTACATAAGATGTCATAATTAAATAATTTAATTCAATGACTAAAAAATAAAAACTTTTTACAATTAAAAAACGAGATTGAAGTTTAACTTATTTTCCAATAGTGTTGAATACACATACAGTATAGTAACCCACAATAGATGGCTATACTGTAGTTCAGGTGTACTAATCAATACGTATTGTGAATACAGTGTGTTTTGTTATTGTTTGGTGTTTTCGCCTCGACTTTTAAAATTCAAATAACTAGTCATTAAACTTGAATTTAATTAATTAATTAAATTAAAATTAATCTATAATTAAAACTAAATTAATGTCTAAATGTCAGACAAACATGCGGTTATAGCGAGTGTAATATAAAATATACACAATATAACGACAATAAACATAACAGTAACTATGAATGAGAAAATGTTGCATGATGAAAACCGGCGGCTAATGACCATGCTGCAAATTGAACGCAAACTCACCGAGTGTTTGGACAATATCCGTAACGCAGCGCTTGTGTTAATACATCGATGTCATTGTCCATCCGGTGGCCAATTGGCGGACACTATCAACGAGTTTAACGGCGTTTACCACGAGCTCAAAGTGAAACAATATTGGTTGAAAAATGGCCGCACAGACAGTGGCCGCCGTAATAACGGTGGCAATTGTGCTGCTGATGGCGGTGGTAATGGTGGTGATAGTGTTGGTGGTACCCATGCATCAGATGATTTGGATTATGGTAAGTTTTTTAAAACTTATTAAACCTGATAAGCACAATATATCAGCAATTTTTATCTACAATTAATACCACACATTTGGTTATAAACTAATAAATATAAATATGATTTAAAATGATAATTTAACAA